AAACAAAAACACTAAAAAGAAAATTAAACACATACAACCACCCTTCGGGGAGAAGAGTGGGTGAAAAACAAAGCACGAAAAGAAACAAACGCGAAAATAACAAAAACACATAAAAACGCAAACAAGAACACAAAATAACACAAGCTTTACATTCTATTGTTTCATGGGAAAATGAATCTAGAAGCCTATCTTGATTGGGAGGAGGAGATGGAAGTCTTCTTTAGAAATTATTATTATTTAGATTTGAAAATGGTACAACTCGCTTCTATGTCATTCACAGGTTATGTTGCTGTATGGTGGGATCAACTTTGTGCATCGTGGAGACGAGATATCAATGTGCAAATAGAGCATTGGGAAATAATGAAGCGAGTCATGAGAAGGATATTTATACATGATGATAGACACCCTCAAACTACTCTGCAAAGTCGACACCAAAGTTTCAAGATTTCAGAAGATTACTGTAGGAGATCTTTTCCTTCACGAGAGATCAAGTCAAACAAGCAAACTACTTATCATAAGAAGGAAGATCCCGCAATTAAATCACTACCAATCAAATCAATACACTCCTCCTCCAATCAGAAAGATTACAAACCCTCCACGTATTCTGCAATTAAAATCCCTACTATTGCTTCTAAATCCTCCGCCACTACACTACCCTCCGCTAGATAGCATTTCAACATCGAACTCTATCTCCGATGATGTTGCGGAGTGCAACAGATTCGGCTTCCACCGTCGCCAGAGAAAATGACGGATCTAGGTTACCGGTCAATAAATCTGGATCGGGTTCTTGCTACTTGTCATCTTCCGATCGTCATTGGAGGTAATAGTGAGACGGTGGCCGACTTCCAAAATGGTGAATCACACAACGACCCTCATCTCACAAGTTGCAGCTGTCCCTGTCGCTGCCGCCTACCTCCTCCATTGTCGTCGACGCCCTGGGACAATGTCGCCGCTAGATAAGAAAGTGAGTCTTCAGATCTAACCCTTCCTCAATCGACTCCATTGTCATCGACGCCCTCGATGCCTGCCCCGTCCATCGCCATGGACGACCTATGACCATGCCGTCGCTGGAGGAGAGAGGGAGAATATAATTGAGAACTTGGGAGGGTTTTTGAAAGGGGAGTGGGGAGGAGACGGTTCCAGAGGTAGGCGGCCAAATATGCAAATATATATTAGGGTTTGTGGGATGTGAAATAAATTTAGACATAATTAACCTTTATAAAATTATAACCCTTGGATTAAAATTACATCTAATGGTTGGAAACTAAGTTATTATAGTGTTAACCCCTTAGGGCACCTAATCTCATTCCTCATTAATCACATTATTCCTCTTTTTGTTTCTTGACTTTGATTTTGACAAGATTTCTGTCACACCACATACCTAGTTTTTTCTGAAATTCCTAAAATGCCCCTCTTATTGATTAAACCTAAACTAATATTCCGGATAAGATTACCTTTGGCTAAGTTCAAGCGGCAGCAATGGACCAAGCCTAATTGGTAACAATATAATTTCGAGCCCAACCTTTTCTTTCCCAAGCTCTGATCGATCTATAACTTAACCAACTCATGTCCTACCTCGTAGTATCCACAGCAAGGTTGCGGAGGACTAAAGCAAATATGGGATTCCACGTCTACAACCCTCTCCCAGCCCTAGACACGCATTAGAGAGGTAAGGGAATTATCCCGGTCCATTTAATTATAGAATCATTTGCTATTGAGGAATGTGGGGGCTCGCAGTAGGTTACTAATTGAAGGAATATGCTTGTGGGCGATGCAATGGAATTGTGGGTGACGGATTATTGACCAAAAGAAGCTCGGTTACAAGTTAGAAACCAAAAGCCTCTTTATAAATTTGTAACTAAGTTTAGTTACTTTACGTGGAATGCATGGTAGTTTAATTAATATAAAGGGGTTGGATTGATGGAATCAAACATGGATTATAGTAAAGCAAGCAAATGGGTTAATAATTATGTGAGGTGGACGTATTCTATCCGTAGGGGAAAAGAAAAGGAAGATGGTGTATGGACAAGTACAAGGCCTATAAGGACGTTGGCATCACCACGGCCAAATATAAGTTGATAATCGATTTGAAATTAAAGTGTGTGACTAAAGGGGACTAGAGTAGTTTTGTAATCAGTGTATGCATTTAAGTATGCATCTCAGTTCTTGTTTTATGTTCAGTCATTCTTTATATACTTTCATATTAAGTTAATTTGTTTACGTTCACTCTTTACGTTAGGTATGCATAGCATCATGGAGCATAAGTAAACTATCTTATGGGTCAAGCAAATACAAGTTCAATTCTAAGCTAATCCAAGTGCAAGTTTATAAGTTTATATCTTTCCATTGTGCGGGAGATCACTCTCTAGATAAGTAAGCAATTATAAGAATACGTTAAGTATGTCTCTACATCATTTGAGAGGTGTTTTTCAAGCAAGCATATATAAGATATCAAGTTAATAAGTAAGAATAAGAACCCTCTCTTAACTAGTCACACGCGGTCACCTTACTCCTTGTAGATGAGGAGCACCTTGTAGATGATGAGTCATGATATGTATGTCACGATCCGTGCTGGACGCGGTCACCACTACTCTGTAGATGGGGAGATATGTTATGTTACTCCTTGTAGATGAGGAGGTTATGTTCATGATATGTTGGTGTCGGACGGTTGTGCTAGTTAAGTCGAGGGCGGGATCCCATCTCAAATTAAGTAAGTGAAGTACACTATGCATAAGAATATGTTAACAATAATATACTTCTACTAATGTACCCAATAGCATACCATAAGCATTGCTTGTGCATGTTAATCTCGATTTATGTATGATAACAAAATTAGGACTAGGACTGAACCCATCGCCCGCACTCAGGAGCTGCAAGGAAGCGGAAGCAATCGATCACTCGTCAGGAGGAAGCTGCTGCTCGTAGGGGTGGGCATCCTGTTCGGTAAACCCAAACCAAATCGGACCGAAACCGAACCGAAAATGAATAACACTAATTCGGTTCGGAATTCGAAAGGCAAACCCCCATATTTCGGAAACCAGGGTATGCACGACCGAACCCGAATTCCGACTAACCGACCGAAAAACCGAAATAAAAAGGAGACCACAAGCTAAACAAGCCCACTCACTTACATAGCCCAACTAACTACCCAAAACCAACTAACTGTCAAGCCCAGCCCAACCTCGCTAAACCCTAAAAACCACTGGAATGCAGGCGATTCTCATCTCTCTGCGGTAGTCTCCACCAACGACACCGCTTCATCTATAGTCTTCGTCCACCATAGAAAAACCAAGAGAGAAAGAAACCAGGTCGGCGTCGTCTTTCTCTTCGCCACGAGTCCCATTTTTTCTCTCTGACCCATATCCCCCACTTCCCGTCAGGGCTTCAACCTCACAAAAAATAAAAAAAGAAGCGAAAGGCAGAAATCAGATCTCACGTTCCTCACTCCTCAGGCGAAATCAGATCTCCGAACTAACATCAACCCAAATAGAAACTAACCTTTGAATTTCCTCATAGTCGCTCTTGTTGTCTATAACATCAGGACATAGGTAGAGGAAGATTGGCGACAGAGGGTTGCATTTCATCTTCCTTCCTTTCCTCCTTCCTTTCCTTCTGTTCTGCTTTTTTTTCCCCCTCTGCTTGTTGGCAATAGAAAGTGGGCAGTGGGTTGCATTTAATCTTCCTTCTCTTCTAATCTGCTTCTTTTCCTCTGCTTGTTTGCAATAGAAATTGGCCTAATGGCTAGTGGGGTTGGTTTTCATGGTGGCGGATGAGATGGGATAGGAAAGGAAGGTAGAGAGCTAGATGGAGAAAAAGTGGAGAAGAGGAAAGATAAGAGAGAGAGTTGAGTTGGAGTTGGAGAGGGAGAGAGAGAGACTCAGAGCGGAGATAAATGGTATGTGGAATTGGGGGCCTATTTCCCAGCAGCACAAAAACGCATAAATAACAAAGTACATCATACATTTTCCGTTTTAGGCAAAAACCCGAACCGCTTTATATTTCTGTTCGGATAGGCAAAAACCCGAACCGAACCAATTTATCTTTCGGTTCGGACCGAACCGAAATATAAATCGGTTCGAATTCGGTTTGCCATGCGTCTGGAATCGGAAACCCAATATTGACCAATTCGGTTCAGTTCAAACCGAACCGACCGAATGACCACCCCTAGCTACTCGAAATGTCATCTTCACATGGGTTAGTGATGACAAAAGTTTTCAAGTGAACCCTTGCACTTATGTACTTTTATTAGTAGGCTTAAGATTGATACTCATCTATGATTTGTTAAGAGAGATTTCCTACAGTGATTTGAAATTATTTATGTTGTTCTTTCATTTTGAGTTATTTTGATTATTCAATGACATGTTGGTAAAAGTAGTGCTCGACCGAGCTAGGGTGTTACAATTTAAATGTGGAGATGAAATTTTTTTCGTAGTTTTTTTTCTTCTTTCGTTGTTTCCCTGTTGGTTTGTTTTTCTTCTGATTGCTTGGTCTTTCTTTCATTATTTCTTCTCATCTATTCCTTGAACAATATTTTTTTTACATAATCCTTCATCTTTTAAGCGTGAATAACTCAATAGCAAACAAAATAAAAATCATATCACACAAGTAGAAGATATTTAATGAATTGATAAAACAACTAACGTTCCTAAGAAATATTTATACTGTTGATAAAGTAAAATGTCCAGCATATACGTTCAAATATATTGACTATCATGTTTTTTCCATTTCTTTTGAATAAATTACAGGTGGTTGTGGGAAATATCATCCATATAAGAAATAATATGTTGGATTCAATTTCTTACTCCAGAATATAAAATAGAAAAAGAAAAGTACACAAACTATTACATATATCCTATAAATGTTTATACTTTATGCTAATTATCCTGTGCTTGATATGTAATTACAGTTTGTAAGTACAAATTTTAGTCAAAATTTTCACAGTGGATAAATTCTAAAATAGAAAAGGTATATTTTTCACAAAAGGTTGGTTTTGGTTTCGTTCAATGGTCTACACCCACATTGGCGGTGGAACCGATTCCCACCTGTAACCATGGCGATGAATTCCCATTGATACGTATGTCCTTAAGTTCACTAAGCTTTGCTAATTTCACTTTACTGTCTGCTATGTCATCCACCTTCTGCATCGTCGCAGAATCATTGGCATTTTCATTGTTTTTGTTAGGACTCTTCTTGATTCTCTCCTCGTCATTATGGTTCAACTTTTTTCCTTTACCCATCCAAGGTTGTAAGTAAACCCCAGTGGCCAAAGCAAAGCCACTAGGAGGAGGAGGATGACGAAGATGGTCTTTCCTAGCTTGGTTTGGATGGTCGACGACCACTGCAGAAGCCATTGGAAGGTTAAGATCAAGTGTGAGATCCAACGAGTCAGAGTTACTACTCGTACTGATAAACTTGGGAGGTCTATGTTGAATTTGCTCTATATGGTCTTGAAATTGGTGAAACTTTGCAGCCAAAGAGGAGGCATCGGCTGTGGGCGAATTGGACGTGATCCAATGACAACGTTTGTGACCACCCAATGCTTGGCCAGAAGAGAACACCCGATGGCAGATGGAGCACTCATGAACTTTAGATTTCCTCTTGGAGGGTGAAGCAATAGTTTGGGAGCCGTGGTCGAACTGGAAGCTCGAAGATGGCACTTTCATGAATGTGTCATCATGTTGTGTGGTGACAACATCATCATCAACCATGATATCATCAACGATAGAAGCTTGGTTGTTGTGATCCAACCTGGCAGCGAAACAACCTTTCACTTTCTTGTGACTAGCCCTATGCCCTCCAAGCGCTTGGTGTGAGTTGAACACTTTCTTGCAAGCCTTACACTCAAACATTCCTTTGCTTACGGTGGTACCTTTGGCCTTATCAACGGTTTGTACGATCGTGGGATGGTACGTGATGTTAGTGTCCGGTGTTATGAAGTTGGTTGAATTTCTTCGATCCTCGTCTTTACTAGCTGAAGCACAAGACTCCTCTGGCTCGACCACCAAAGGAGAATTTTCCATTGTGGTTGTAGCATTGGATAACATCATGAGGCATTTGGCTAGATCCTCCTCCTCGTTTGATGGGAAAATAGAGCTGTAGTTACTATTATAATTGCTATTACCAATTTCAACCTTAGCCCTAAAAGACCTCTTCCTTTTATACCAACCACCACTGCTGCTTCCCCTCATCGTGGGGCCATATTCTTCACCTTCTTCTGAAAGGGGGGAAGAGATGAGGGAGTCAACATCATTAGAAGTGCATTTTCCATTTTCATGCTCAAGGAATGATTTCCAAGAGAAGAACTCTTTGCCACAATTCTCACATGCACGAGTGGTCTTTAGGCGATTAGGGTTTGTTCTTAGTTCATACATTCTCTTAATTGTGGGGGCCACATTGTTACTACCAATTGGTAATTTGTCTTCACAATCACTGGTGGGGTCTTCCTCTTCCATTTGGTTCGCAGTATCGTCGCCTATACCATGAGCTCTCATGTGGCCCCCAAGGGCTCTCCCACATCCAAACCCCTTCTTGCAAATCTTGCAATAATGTTTGAACCCTGCTTGCTGATCTACAATTAGTGCCATACGGTGAGAAGGATTTTTTTTTTTTTGAAATCGCAAAATGAGGAATTGATGTAGTAATACCACAGAAGGTAAAAAGAAAAAAAGAACACAAAGGGAAATGGTGTGAGGCGAATGTATGTTTGTTTGTTCTTGTAGTGAAAGTGATTTGTGAAATGGTGAATTGTGAAGAGGAAGAATGATGAGTTTTTGAGGGAGTGACCTTGTTTTTAGACTTTGTAATGGTTATTGAGAAATGAGGATGAAATAGAGAGAGAACGACATGCATAGATGAGAGAGTAAAGGGCAACGTGCTAACAGTTTGGATGACACGTGGTGGGATAAATAAAACCACATTATATGATTGAGACTTTTTCTACAACATAATAAAACAAATTGGAGGAGGGGGTTATATGTGTCTAACTGTATTTTTAGGGAGAGAGAGATGGTGGCGCCGCCGCACGTCTACAAGAAGAAAAAACATGAGATAATAAAGCCAATTGTGGAGGTTTGTTCGTTCATGCATGAAGTTTGCTAGTATTGTGTGAAATTATGTGGACTGAAAATATGTGGTGTTAGTATAAACTAGTGACGAGAAGGAGAAAACAAAAAGGTAAATGATAAATGGGAAAAGGGTGTGGTAGTTGGCTTTAACTGCAAAAGGCTATTCATATCATTGGGTCATATTAATTCTCTCATATATGCCTTCAATTTCAAGCTAACTAAACTAAAGAATGAAAGTCATGTCATTTATTCATCTCCCTAAATGGTATATGGCTTCTCCTTTTCTGTCGTTTGAGTTCCCCCCCCCCCCCCCACACCCTTTTTCTTCTCTGTTTTATAATATTCTATAGTTAGGGCAAGTATGCACCAGGACCCTGTAAACATAACCCTATTTTGTGTTGCACTTGAGAATATTGCTAATATTGCATAACTTGTACTTCAATCTTTCTCTGCTTCTTTATATTTCTACACTATAACTTTCAAAGAAAAATATACCTTATTATTTTTTGTTAGGAAAATATTTATTATTGTATCATTGTTAGAATATAAACAACATAAGTATGTGATTCGGGCTCATTTGTACACTTTTTAGCCCCGATTTGCTTAGTCATTTGAAAAAATTTTACTCCGAGAGGTTTGGTTTTATGTCGGGTTTTGCCTTGTTTTGGTGTTTTGCAGACTTTGGCATGTGGAACCAACCCTGGAGTCGAAAGTTGGATAAAAGGGCAAAAAATCAAGTCAAAGGGTGGAAACAGTAGCAGATCATAGTTTGGTCTGTGTTTTCACGGTCACTAAGACCGTGAACTGGAGGCGCTACCCGTGAATAGCCAGGAATCCAGAGCACAAATCGTTTTCACTAGACACAAGTCAGTTCATGGCCGTAAGACCGTGAACTCAAGCCAATGCCCGTGAACTGGACTTAGTGATGCAGCGCGTTTCAACTTGAGATCACGGTTCGGGCTTTCAGTTCACGATCGTGAACTGAGACCGTGATCTGAGCCCAATCGGGATATATAAATGAGGTTGAGCTGAAGGGAAAAAAAAGGGAGAGACCTAGGGTGGGAAACTTCTTCTTCACATTTCTAGAGTGTGAAAGTGACGAACCAAAGAAGAGGAGAAGCTAGGGTTTCATCTTCAAGCAAGGATTTGGTAATTCCTCTCCCAAAGGAGAATCTCTTAAACACAAGGAGCAAGTCTAGCATCTCATTGATAGTTTTCCTTCTTCTCTCTTGTGTTTTTCCTTCTCCTAGCATGGAGTAGTCCCTTCTTTCACTTGGGTGTTTGTAAACCCTAGCCACAATTTTGTATGTGGTTGTGGTTGTGTTTAATATGAATGTGGAGGTATTAATCAAGAATGATTGTGTTGTGTGAAAGCCTATCAATCTAATTGCCTTTCTAACCTAGGTAGAGAGAAAAATCTCCTTCCTTTCTTTGAAAGAGGCTTGAATGCTGGGTTTTCTTAGGCGATTCATTGTCTCCTATCTAGGTTAATGCAGGGCAAACCTCTTATTTCCTATTAGCACCTAGGCTTGGTAGTGGGTGGCCGTCCGAACTCCAATTCGAAGGTGAAGTCTAACCAACCCTTAGTCAATAGGTCGAGAGAGTCACATTGGTGGCTTGACTCAAATTTCCTTCCCTCGACCTAAAGACCAAGAGAGTGGCACTTGGCTACTTGTTGCACTTCCCTACGGTTTACAACCCCCTTACCACACACGACCATTCGATCCAACAAGTCATAATTGCTAGCTAGGGGGAGCAACATCCGGGTGAAGCCTTCTCAATTAGTGTCAAATCCATTTACCTTTGCAAACGTGTTAGCTATAGATTATTGTTTTCACCAAAAATCAACCACTAGATAATATTTTAAACAATCGAAGTAGGGGTACATGAACCAGCCCGGGTCAATATTTAAACATACTTGCCCTATACTACATCCAGTTAAGGTTTATACTTGGGCCTTAATTGGGAGTTTTATTGTGGTATTCGTGATGAGTCAGTATGTTTAAGAGTGTCAATCGGGTGTGAGTGGGTCTACTATAAGCTTCATGTTGATCATGCAGATCCCCGTCAATTCATTTCAAGTTTAGATATTAACCGTTGATTCTGTTTACCCTTTCGTCTCCCACTAAAGAAAAAAGATCATTTAATTACGGTAACTCTCGTATTTGAAAGTGTGTTTCCTGTGTTTACTAGTTTTAGTTACGGGAAAATTATTGTAATATATACATTCGTAACTAATTGTAAAGGTAACGGGAAATTCGTACCATGACTAGTTAGCTAGTCACGGTATGTTTTCCCATGATAAGTTGCACCTATTAATCACGGGGAACCCCGTGACTAATACCAAATATTGCCACACAACTAGGAAAAAAGAAACTCATTTAGAGACGAGATGTACACCTTTTAACTCTGTATTTACGATGACCAAATCATTTTCATGACTAGATGCCAATGCTTAGTCACGATATTTGGTTTGTTCTACCATTTCTAGATATTGACAATTGGTCACAGTATTTTACTATAAATAATTATCAATGCCTAGTCATTTCTATATACAAAAAACATACAATTAAAGATCAACTCTTATAGCATTAGATTTTAACATTATTGTCAATAAAATTTATTGATCAATGTTAATCAACATATAATTAAAAAGACTAATTATTGTAACATGAATCTCTCGAAAACCAATTGCAAATCCAATTAGTGTGCCCAAAGCATCTAAAATTATTAAATTTTTTATCTATGATTCTACAAGATTTTCTTGAGTAGCTGAAATATCTATCAACTCCCGAATCTTCAAGTCTTCTATTTCCATCTACTAGACGATGGAAACAAGAATCAAGGCGCTAGATATGTAAATACCTAAAACTAATACATGAAAGTAAACATTAATGGAATCGATGGTGAATGTAGGCAAAGTAGGACAACATGTAACAAAAATAATTTTATCAGAATTCTTTTGTGGCAAAGTAAGACTATGATGTTATAATTGAAACTACTAATCTCACTAATGTCCGACCACTTCACAATCTCTGTTCCAACATTCTTCCATTACCCCTATATCAAGTTGGCCCAGGCAAGAAGGAATAAATAAACTAACTATAAATCAACCATAATAAGGTAGCTCCAAAGGATCGAAAGAAGGTAGCTCACCTATGGAGGATAATGGTAAATAACAGAAGCCAACATGAATATATTCATCTCATAGAGTAAACTAAAATAATCTCGGATCTCATAGTCTGAATACTAATATACACAAAAGGACTAAGAGATAAAATGTAATTACAGTCTATGTGTAGATAAGCTAATCCACGAGTTGCACAGGCACCCATTTTGATACATTATGCCCCATTCAAAACGTTTATTCTTATCTTCTCCACAAATTTGATCATTTTCAACCTATATCTATAGCTACACTAACAGTAATGAAAGAAAATTGTTTGTTAAACAGATTGATACAAATTCTTATATTGGTAAAATTAGGTGAATGGATGTAGATTGTAGACTGAAGGGTTCAAAAAACACATAATCAAACAATGTCAGTTATGCTCGCCTAGCAAACCTTGCTATAGAGAGTTGAGTTGTAACTTCAATCCTGATTCGGGTCCAATTGTACACATTTTGCCTCTCATTTCTTGATAATTTGACTTTGCATTTCATCATCTCTCGACCTATTGTGCTTGTTTTATTACATTTCAGGTCCTAGCACGTGTGGGAAGGTCGAGGACAAGTTTCGTGTCGATTGAAGGTTGAAAAGCGCAAAAAGCAAAGAAAAGTCCAAAGTAACGACCGTGACAATTGCATCGTGACCGTGAATCGCCGAAGTTCTAGAACGGTTAATGCATCTCACTGGATGCGACCGTCAACTCCAGCCCTAGACCGTGAAGTGACTTAGAGAAATGGTGCGAATATGCTCGACTTCACGGTCCGGGATGAATGTTCACGACCGTGAACATGCGTCGATCTGGGTATAAAAGGGGAAGTGAGCTGAAAGTGAAAGGGAGAGCTTTTGGTAGTTTTTTAGTTTGTAGAATAAAATAGAGTTTCTACTGATAGATTAGGATTTCTTCTTCAAAGCTAGTGAGAGAAAGTGTCATTCAAAGGAGGAAGAAGGAGATTTGGGCTTGCCCTAAGCTAGAGGAGTGAGGATTCTTACCTCTCAAAGTGAGATTCAAGCAAGGAGGAAGGAATGTTGTCATCTCTTCAGGGTTCTTTCTCTCTTTTTCTTGTTTCCCTTTGCCTAGCTATGGAATAGCCCACCTATTCACTTGGGTGTTGTGAACCCTAGCTTGGAATATGTGATAGATTGTATTAAATGAATGCTTTGTATGTGGGTTTGTGTTTAATGCAAAGTTTGAGTTATTTTCATGATGTTTGAGTTGTGTTCTTCATTTCTCATTATTATGCCAATTTGACTTAGGTAGAGGGAAACCACCTTTTTGTTAGGAGACTTTGATAAGCTGGATTCCTTGGCCAATTGACCCACCTAACTAGGGTGAATTAGGGAAAACCTCAACCTTCGATTTAGCACTTTAACTTGGGTGTTATTGTGCCCTCCTAACGGTGTATAACACACCTTCACACATTTGCATTCGATTTGGTCGATCTTGATATGAGGTTAGGGGGAGCGATACCCGGGTGAATTCTTCTCTCATTGGGACAACCTCGATTTACTTTCTTGCTTGTTTTCATTTTGTAGTTTTCTTAGCTTTAAAAACCCAAAACCGTTTTCTAGATAACAACCTAAGAGGTTGAAGTAGAAGTACATGGACCGGCTCGGGTTTGACTTAAATACTTGCCCTATACTGAACCCGACTAGAGTTTAAAAACTTGGTCTATAGTCGGGTTTAATTCGCGGTGTAGTTTCGAGCGAGTCAAGTCCTAAACCCCGTGAACAGAAGTGTCAGCCTTCTTGGTTTCTTTCTACCTCACCTGAAAGCCACGCCAAATAAGTTGATCTCTAGAAACTAAGAAACCCTCACCTGAAAGCCAACACCAAATAAGTCGATCTCTAGAAACCATAGTCACTTAGTTATCTTCTACCATAATAGGCAATAAAGATTCCGACTTGGTTCCTAATTCTATAACAGGCAATGGAAACTCCAACTTACCTCCTCTTCTATAGTTAACACTTATTCACAAGAATATTGTTCGCTTTTTCAGCTTACTTGATTAACATTTCAAACTGTAGCTAAGTATTTAGCTCCAAAACTGCTCATCTCAAGTTTCACTTGGGTACGATGATCAGCCAAATGTGCATTCATCAGTACCCACTCTAATTATTTCCCCTGAATAAATAACAACCCCTGAAGTGGTGAAACATATGTGTGTGAAGATCACGACATCATCACACATTAGAATCCAAATACATTAAAACTTAGAACTCGTTGCTCACTTGTACCGAAGAACAATATGAAAAACTTTGATATGAAGATGATTCTCTAACTTGTAACATATTGAGGTTGCAAAGAACAACCACATGACTTTAGCCCTTATTCTAGTTTAGATAAATGACATTTAATAGTGAATGCAAGATTATAAACTTTGTAACTTCCCCACGCAAAAGCGCGAACCTTGGAGAAATAAGAAGCCTTGAGAGCTTTCTTTAGACAAGGATTCTTGTTGTCCACAATCTTCGAGTCCCACATCAGTAGAACTTCCTATTTCATAAGCGCTATGTGTATGACACTGACCTTCAGCAGCCCCCACAGCAATTCTCAATGAGATCGCCAGGACCTAGCCAAATAGCCCACCATCGTGAGCTTTCAATACCATGTTGTAGCCACTCTCATAGTCCAATGTCACCAATGGGACTTTCGCGTACTGAATCTAGAGCAGATTCCCCTTAAAATAGCCATGCACATGTCGGGATGAAGAAATTAAAGTTCAAACTCAATCACAGGTCATAATTGGGGAAAATTAAAACCCTATGAATTGAAACCAGGTGCTAGAGTTCTCAATACTAGTGATTCAAGAAAAGAAGGCGACATGGTCGATTACTACTTACATTGGCATCGCGTTGATTATAATTTGTCCATGTATTCCCCTAGGACAGCATAAGAGATGGAGGATTTCAGGTGGGCAATGTGGATGATGGGTTGGGCAGCGATTCGGGCAGGGAGTCTCGTCTTTACAAGCTTCTTAAAGAGCGGCGGCTGAGACCAACAGGTTGGTGAGGGATTTGGGGGAAGGTGGGAAGGATTTGTTGGTGACTATAAAACAACTGCTATTGGTTTATGGAGATAGGAGGAAGCAGTTGGTGACTGGGAACAATTCATCTAAATCTAAAAATATATAAAGCCAAAACATGGGTTGGAATTCTCCCATTTCTAATTTCGTGGCCTGAGAGTGATTCTAGGAAGGCTATTTTTGGCCTGAATATGTTTACTTATTCAAAATGTTATCATTGGAGTTTGAACCTTGTCACTTGAAAGAAGAAAGAGCATTATAACCAACTAGGCCACATTTTATTTATTGTTATTTCTTTGATTGAACTCTAAGAATATGTTTGGTGATGATGCTTCTATATTTATATTTTATAGAAGGATATTAGTTCTGAAATCGGCACTCAAGTAGTATTGATTTAAACATTAATATTAAATTGTACATGTTGTTTAGTTCAGACAAAATACATAAGTGTAACTAAAACATGGAATTTTGTGACGAGTATAATCATTTTTTTGTGACAAATCAACACATAATAAAATGATAAAATTGGAAATGAGAGTCTCATTTCAAATTTTGTGGCCTGAGAATGATTCTAGGATGCTCTTTTTCGTCATAGTGTCCAATTTATCTTTATATTACGTGTAAATTCGTGACAAAAAATTACAATTTTTGTCACAAAGATCCATGTTTTGGCTACAAATATGTATTTTGTCTAAACTGAACCACACATACAATTTATTATTCAATGTATAAAGCAATGTTACTTGAGTTCCGATTTCACAATTAATCACATTCTATAAGATATAATGACTTCAGGTAAAATACATTTCCTACTTGGTTGAAGAAGTTCTTTCTATAAGATATATTTAATGTTTTAAGATTTTCTATTTCAAATTTCGTGAAGTGAGAGTGAAAGTTGGAAGAGTATTTTTGTTTTTAAATGTAATAGATAATTAATAAGTGAGATTATCATAAATGTGAGCTCATTCTATTTGTTTACACTAAAATCATTACTTATATTTCCTCTTTTCTTATTTATAATAATACAATTGTTATTTATTGTTGTTAAACATAATTTAAGAAAGATAATTATGTTTTTTTTTTGCCAAAAGCTCACTATATTACCAAGAATCGAAGATACCAGAGTTTATACACCGAACATAAAAAATTAACAATTGGTTCACAAAAAAAATTGAAACCATGTTTTCTTGGTGTTCAGGAATAGGAAACCCTCTGTTCCCGAAGGAAAATCGGGGAGGGGAGGCCGGAGGGGAAGGGAATTAGAAGGGGATAATTTGGAGGTTAAGGAAATTGAAAGGAAAATTGTGTTTTACGGAGGAAAGTAAGAAGGAAAATGTGTATCGGAAATTGTGATGGATATATTATTTTATTGAATATATAATAGTAAATAATTTGATTATATGTTGATATTAGTTTCATTGTTTATGATTTGTGAATTAAATTTAACCTTTCTTATTAATTTTGTTCACCATTAAAATTATTTACTATTTGGAAACTGTTCATCTGCTGGCCTGACCAACTCTCCACGAACATTCATCGTGAAAAGAGGGCCAATGACAATAATACCTTTCCGATTATCAGATCTTTCAATAAAGCAGCTACTTGTAATAGCAACATCAGCCCTCTTCGGTTTTAAATTCCAGAATCCGCTCCTCGATTGCTGTTTGCTGATTGCTGAACTGGCTCTGGGTAAAGAAACACACTGCACTACGGAAGGCCAATAATTATGTCAGAATCTGATACAAGCTGCTAAATGTAGTAAATTACCTTTAACCTCGGTGGTCAACAACAGCCCACCAAGCGTGCATCACAATGCATGCATATCACTTCTCCGAGTTACTGAACTAAAGCACTTCAAAGAGGGAAGAAAGAATGAAAAACGACTACCAGACACTTGATAAATATGTGGCAATGGCATTGTTTAACGCCATATGCAGAAATGGAATAAAAAGAGAGAGTAAGGGCCTTTTCATCTGAAGAATTAGTTTTGTGAGTCCCAGCCACCAGATATATGGGAAGACAATAACGACTGCTACTTAACAAACCCCCACTGGCCCGGATGAATTTCCCATCCTATTTCTGGCCAGGATATGCTCAGCAGTAAAATAATGAAGATAATCTGAATCGAAAGAGAACATGCTAATTGTCTTTTCAGTAAAAATGCCGCTTATGAGAAAATGAAAATGCAGCAGCTAATCGGTAGAAATGAGACACCAAAGACCAATGACCGATATAACATATATTTATTCTTTTTTGGTAGAAAGACAGACACCCATTGGTGTCTTAGGATGCATTAGATATTAAACGTTCTTGGGATATACCCATGACATCAAAATTGATCCAGTGACAAAGGCCTGAATCGTACACATCGATAGAATGTTTACCAAAATGAAGGCTATGGCCTCTAATAGCTAAGAAATCTGCAGCACAATTGCATTCTCTCTATAAATATGCTCAATCCGAACTTCCCAATTGAGTGAAAGGAGCCGCTTAAACTCCAGCGCAAGGGTACCATATCTATGGTCGTCATCATCCCTGTTCTTGATGATGCTTATAGCAGTGGTAGAGTCCATACACAACTTGATTTTTCTGTATCCTTTCCTCCATGCTGTTGCAAGTCCTGTTTCAGCAGCTTTCAGCTCCGCTCTTGTAACGGTGCAGTTGCCGAGATTCATTGAGAAGGCCTCATGGCAACGTCCAAGGTGGTCTCGCAAGAGTCCTCCCCCAGCAGCTTTCCCTTCTTCAGCAATCACAGATCCGTCTGTGTTAATCATCATCCATCCTTCGTATGGTGGTGACCAAGCAAGATGTCTCCTCTCTTTCCTTGTGATATCCCCTGCCTTGATCATGTCATTGTTTTGTCTTGCACTTCTCACAATATTGAAATAGGCAAGGATCCGGTGCAGCAGACTTTGTTCACAATACTTCTTTCCATAAGGGATTTCTTCGTTACGCTGCTTCCAGATATGCCACAGGATGATCCCAAAATCAATCCCCTTCTCTTCATCCTTCGGGTTTTCGATAATCCAGCTCTTGAAAGGGATGCTGCTATCAGAGACAGTGACGGAATGTCTAAGCTTCCTCCAAAGTCCTTCAGTTTTCTTGCACTGTCTAAGAAGATGTTCTGTCGTTTCCTGGCTGCTGCATCCCAGGTGCTCACAGCTTCCATCATTCGTCAGCTTCCTTCGAGTTCTTTCCTGGTTGGTCAGCAGTCTCTCGTGCAATGTCAGCCAAAGGAAGTGTCTGATCCTGTTTGGTCCTTTCCACTTCCAAAGCTTCCTCCATTCTTCCTCTTCTGTTGGCTCGAGCTCCTCGGCAGCAAGCTTGTATGCTGACTTGAGTCTGAATCTGCCATCTGGCTCCAGCCCCCAAAGAGTTTTGTCATCACCTTGTCCTTCCTTTGGCGTTTCAGTACCTGCAATTAAAGACAGAACATTCTCAGGGAGTTTTCCATGCAATCGTTCCCAATTCCAGTCCCCTGAAAGAGTGACAAAATTGCACACAGGTGCTCATGGACCAATTTTTGAAGCCAAAGTGTGGTCGTTGTTTAATCCCTACACTATCCCTGGGCAGACGTCTTCTGTAAGAAGTATGGAGATTGGGGAATAATTGGAGTAGAGAATTAGGGTTAGGGATTGAGAAGAGAAGAATTGGGGGAGTTAACCGTGAGGATGAGGAAGTGATTGGGAATTAGGAATTTCAATTTTGTTCTTTCTTACTCCTGAAGCTAAAAATAATGTCAAAGCCTTGAATAATTCAATACAACAAAAAGCAAATAAACAAATAATAATTATCTTAATTCTGGTACTTCGGGTTTGATTTAGAAACCTGATCCGAGGCTCTCGCCGAATCCGCCCGGCCTGGCCAGCCGTGTTTCTAACATCTTCGGGTTACAGAAAGACTGCTGACTAACCTGAGTGGACACTTGAAATTCATGAAACAAGGCCCAACCCTGTCTGGCAGAACGACTGCAGCTTTCCTAGCAGCACCATCTGAGTCACTGTGATAAGAAATCCACATCTTGGATGATAAAAAAGATAAATGTACATGGTTAATTAAGTTAGTCAATCTAAATGGAAGTAAAATTTCCTTATTTAGATGCAAGCTCTTTATAAACCTTGCTATGTCATTCAACCTTTATATAATTACCTCATAGATGCTCAACGAAGTCCAGAAAGATTACAGGATACTGCCCCCTTCAAGTCTAGTAAAGATCACATCATCCTAATATTAAATAGAGCATAATTTCAGCAAAAAAAAAAAAAAAACTCAAATGCTCCATCTGATTACCAATGAACAAGTAACTTTGATAAAAAGAAAATCATATACCTTCTGGGACATGTGCAGGTTTTTCACTATAGTGAACTAATACTTGGGATGATTTTTGGCAGCAGTCGATATGGGGGTACCGACCTTGTCTTACACTCATCAAGGAGGCATGCAAGCTCATTCTCCAAGATTGAGTAAGCTTCCGAGAATGCCTGAAAAGTGTAAGATTCATCCATATTAGAGAAACGCTACAGAAATATCAACCCATTCTCCTGTCTTGCCACGCCAGCTCTCGTTATTATTTTAATTTGTATGAAGAATCCAACCAAAGATCCCAAAGTTAAGGGAAGTGATTGGCGTGTGGTCACGCGAAAACCATACATCCTCATAGTCTAGATAAAACCCAATATCTTATTCAACTTAGTTTGCTTGTTGGTAACTTAACCCATAAACAATAATGGCAATATAGGTAATAGGTCATTTTGAAGAAGGGAATCCCTCTGTATGCTTTTGCTAGCTAAAGGATATCCCAGACAACTGGAAATTTTCAATGTTGTGCAATCCTAACAGAAGATCCACATTAGATAAATGATCAAATTGAAAGGCTAACCTTAATACATTGATGTATTCGAAAACAGTTCCTCCCCACATTATTTGTTGGAAAAAGAGGATCATCAATGTGTATAGGATCAATACTGCAGAAAATACCGAACAGTCAGATATTAGAATTCTAGAACTGATATAAAATAAGACCTCACTCAAATCGTATATTTACCTTTGACCTCTTTCCCTAGTTATATACAAGCCTGCACCCTGCACAGAGATTCGCATTTGACGAGGATCAAACACATTCCTGCATGAACAGAAAGAATCTTAGTTTCAAAATTACATCAATAGCAATTGCTACGTAGCTAACAATGGAACATGTGTGCCAGCCTCACATAGCCAAAGCGAACATTTCAGCCTCAGCTTTCCACTTACCCAAAGAAATAAAGAAAGTCCATAAGCAGACCACCGAAGTTCTGCAAAACAACAAATTTGAAGCACGTTAAAGGAGCTGCATATGTATATTTGCTGAAGGCAAAGAGCCTTGCCACTAGGTTTCTGCTCTTGTGTAGTAATAAGAGCAGAAATCATTGCAAGGAAAGGAAGGTTGAGAACCCAGCTGACTAGCAAAGCCTTAAATTCAGAATGGAAATTCCAGCATCAGATTACTTGATTAACAGGCCGACCGAGATGATGCTCGTGCTGTAAAAAGCGTGTGATTATTATAACCTGCAGAAGCATTGGAAAGAACCGTAAGTCAAAGAAACAAGAGCAATGCCTCAAATAGAGACCGAGCTTCAGGCTACTAGGAGCATGAGATAAGTTCTCAAGTCTGGAGTTCTGAACATAATATGATTTTAGTTGACACAATGAGGTACACCATCTCAACAAGCAATTTATCACACAGATTCAAATAGATGATTAGATGAAGCTCCTGATATGTTACCAAACAATAATCCTACATAGCATAATTACCAAACAATAGGAACTCAAGCCACCGGAGTACGATTGATCAAGGCTACGATCTGCCAAGAACTTTTTCAGTACCAAAGCAAGAGGAGTAGCTGCTGGAAACTGTTCAGTCAGCTCCTTCACCTGCGTGCATTTGTTTAAATGCAATAAGGAAAGGGGGACAGAACTAGTGCAAAATATAAAGGCAAAAACTGAAAGAAAATTTACCAACTGCAAACGACACTGAAAAGAGTAAAAAAAACCCAACAAAACACCGAATGTTAAGGGCTAGTCACATTTCTAATATGATTGAGAGCAGGTCAAATCATAGATAGTCTACAGTTAAGTCAGCTTTCACAAATATGCGAGTCACTAGTAAGGTTCAGTTTACTAGACACTATACGGTATTCATCCTTCATTGCGCACTCCTATATGCAGGCCTATGGTGCTAAGACCAACTGGTTCTCTGTTTTTCTCGCAATCCTTAGTCCTTTCACCTTCTTAGTCAAGGGTGGTGCAAGAGAAAATGCTGGGCGTACTGAAGCATATGCCTCACACTAGACATTGACCTTCTCCTTCATGCAAACATCCATTGAACTTCAGTCTATACTAAATAACAATTGAAATGAATTCCAAGCGACTCATAAGCATGACAGTGGATTCAGTTTACATCGAAACTTCTTGACATAAATTACCAGCTCAGTGGTTTGGAGCCCAGTGTGAGATGGAGACTTGAAACTAATGTCTAGACGGAATGATTGGACATCCTTCATGCCATCAAATTGTGGCTCTGAACATTCCAGAGAAGTTGACTCCTCTGAATTGAGGATATCAGACTCTAGATGAGGATCTATGGCACCAGCTTTACACTCCTTCTGCACAACAGAGGTACTGGAGGAGCTCAGATCACTGGGAACTTCCACAACAAGCATGATGATGGGAATCTGGGACACAATGGACAAAGAAAGAAAATGCAACATGAATGGATACGTAGATGTGAGAGGAAGAAAAAACGAGGAAATATTTAAAGATATCCTGGTGAGGCATACAGCTGTATTTTCAACGGTTTTCAGTGAATCACTCTTTACCCACTCCTGGTTGGCAAGGTACCTGGCTGCATGCTGGATAACAGTAGCAGCAGTTACAAAGTAGGGAGGCACACAAGTGAAGCATCACAGTTAGTCAATACTCAATAAGGCAGGGTTCTTTGAAGGGAAAATACTTAACACCATTGCCCCATAGAAGCTTTAGTTCACAAAAGCCAAAACGTACCTGCAGACAAGTTTCTTTAATACCATTACGACCCTCCAAAATTCCTGCTTCTTTTATAGGTTCCTAGTATATAGATACAAGTTAGTTCCCTTGAACATAGATGAAAGGTTAAGGACAATAGTGAAGAGATATCCCACCAAATTCCTCACTGGGGGTAGACAAATGACAAGGTCCACATCACTGGATGGAAGGGACAGGCCAGTTGCATTTGATCCGAAGACATTAGTTCTGGATCTGGGCCATAATACTTGTAAAGATCGAGCGACTCGCTTAACAGCCCAATTAATGAATGGCTTACGAGCAATATTTGCTGCAGCAACCTTTGCAGCAAATATGTCAGACAAGTCAAATATCAATGTCAAGTTCCAGTTATAGATGGTTACAGATATAGTCTAGATATAGTGACGCACTTGAACTTAAAACAACATCAGTTTGTGAACTATATACCTGCTTGCAGAAAATTTCTATTTCATCATGAAGAACCACATGCATCAAAGAAAGAGCTGCTTTCTTTGCAGGACAGTTTTGCAATTCAGGAGGTTGAAGAGGAAATGACACATCTGGCTGCACAGCACCCAACATTAGACTTCAGTTTCATTAGAGGAACAAAGTCACACAAATATATTGAAATGAACTTACATGCTCTTGATCACGAGCTAACTGAGATATTGCAATAAGACGGTCTTGCAACAAAGTTCCAGGAAGAGGTTGAACCATAGGACGTGCCGCTAGATTTTTACTTCTCCAAGAAGGCCAAACAACTTCAGTTCCGTCCATACGTACACGTGCTTCATCTAAGTTAATACCATCGTGATAGAAACCTCTCATTCCCCAATGTCTCGGACTGGAACTACCAGACCTAACAGTTGGAAAACCCCGTTGTTTTCTTGAGTCACTCACTGGAGAGGGTGGAGGAGGATGAGGAGCCCGGGGAACGCAAAGCACAACTGGTGATGGTGGCCTTTTTATCCGAGGGTGTTCCCTCCTTGAATGAGAAATACATGGGCTTTTATGCTCAAGGACATGCTTAATATCTGCTCTAGGTTTGTCTCTTGAGATGTTCGGAATGATGATAGGACGCAAAATTGGGTACGGAAAGACATCTCCCACTTTCCCTTCAGTGTCACCAGAAGAACTAGCCAAAGATCCAGATACTTTCTCCTCCTCAGATGTGTCCTTTGATGTGGAATTTTGGACTTTACCAGTTACTTCATTCCCTGATACTACATAACCAAGTGCAGGGTGTCCAGTCCCTAAAGGGTCAAAAGGAGAACAAAATGAAGCAGCTGTTGGTGAAGTCAAACTATTTGTACTATACGAAGATGAAAAGGCAACCATGTCATCGACAGTCCTATTCATGTCAGCTTCATGCCATGCCCATGAGCTATCATCTGAGCTAAGTGAAGGAGGCCGAGAAAATCCCGTTACTGGGTAATCAGAAGGGTTCCAGTACATTATGCCACCACCAAAATATTGATTGTAGTCTATCCCAGAAACAGCATGAACCTCAATCTCTTCTTCTGACAGCCAGTGATCATAGTCATCCATTGGTTCCTGTCGATTTGTACCTTCAGGCAAGTCCATAATATCTCCATAATTTCCATTATCATCAATGGTATTTGTGTTAAACTGTACCCTTTGACCAGCTAAGCCCTGCTGGAAAGCAGCTTGCCTTCTAGAGATAAAGCCATTATCATAGTTGCGTGTCAAGGATGGAGTTAAGCTACATGCACGTCTAACCATTGGAGGCCAATCTAAACTCATTGGCAGAGGTCGGGAGATCATCTGCTTGCACCCACCTTCAACAGGTGAGCTTCCAGCTTGATGCACTGTTGGTACAAAAGGTTGACGAATGCGGCTATGCCAGGTGAAGCCAACATCTAGGTGCAGTCGGTCAGTAGCAGGTGGAAGATTTGAATTGATTGAGGGAAAATATACATGGGCTAAACTGGGTCCTTCAGAAGGAAAGCACTGTGAATGTCCTATATGTCCAGAATCAGAAGATTTTCCATTCCCTCTTTTGTGAAACATGGCTGATTTTCCTTGGACATCGAGGTTTTGCAATAGCTTGTCAGCGAAAGGAAATTTTTCATTTGCCTTTTGGCTTCGAGAGTTACTATCAACATTTCCGGAAACAATACCATTTCCCGACGGTAGAATATCATGAGGTTTTGTTCCAATACTGTCCATCTTACTAGTCAAATTGTCGATTGTCTGGTCATGAAGTGAACCTCCATGAAGCTCACCACAGATTTTGCCAATGTCACCATTTACCATAGAACCTTGGGCATCCTCCATACAAGATGCATCAGCAGAACTCTTCGAGCTTGTATTTAATGCAAGATCACTGTCATCAGCTAAACTTTCATCAGATATATTCTGGACAACTGAATTCTCAGTTATCGCATCAAGCTTCCTGGTTTCATCAATGCATTTGATGATGCCAGGTTGATGTTCCTCAATCAGTCCTTCAGAACATGTGACTTCAATTTTAGTTCTGAAGCCGGAATTCCTGTGTTTACTTCTTCCTCTCTTCTTCTTCCTAGCAGTGGTCTGACCTCTTCCAAGAAGTGGCCCTTGGGAGTGTTCCTGGTGAGAAGTCAGGGTTATTGAACTAATTAAACCACAAAAACAAATTATAAACCAAATCAACATCCAAAAAGGGTAGTTATGTACTTGAATTTTCACTGCATCATGCCCACAAGGATTATTAGTGCATTCCAAAGTGTCTGCCTTCTCGGTGCAAGGCATGGCAGGTGCAGCATCCTAATATGGAAGTATAAACACTCTGTAACTAACAACGTATCTTATACAAGTGATATTTCCAGATGAAAGATCAGAGAAAAAGCCACCTTCAATGATTTCAAAAAGGATGATTTCGCCAGCCCATTCTCTGGAACACGATTCTGCTTTTTCACAGTCTGAGGTTTCCCTTTTTTGGTTTGGCCAACTGCAGACTGTTTTTCCTTGCGTTTGCTCTGTGGAGGCACAGAAGTCCCCTCCTCCAAGAGTTCAAGCTTTGTGTACTCAAGCGATATGACCATAAAAAGTCCTCGCAACTTCCGTAAGATACAATCTGATATGGTACTGACGGAAATGAAAGTGGTAAAGAACACTGCTGATATATCACTATCACCACACCAGAGTGAGGATATCAAGGTGGCAATACCCCGGATGATGGACAAGCTATTACACATGTTAGAGATGGTAGCAGGTTTCCCGAAAACAGGAGCTGGCAGAATGGATAACCCAATTTCCGCATCAGCTGAGCGGTTTAGGAGATTCTTTTGTGACGATTCATCAAAGACATGTCGCATTGGTTGTTCTCCTCCTTGTCTAAAGAGCCACCTCTGGTCCTCTAGCACACTACTAGCTTCCTTCAGAATCTCACGAGTCTGAGGACTTGAAACATCCAAAAGTTAGGTTGCAACTTATTACACTCATTGAGCAAGGAAAAGAAGAAAAAATGGCATGCGCACATTTACCCTGTTTAATCACAGAGATGGTACACCCCATGAACCTCTCTTTTTTCTTTCTTTATCTAGACAAACTACTCCAACAACCACACAATAGTTAAAACTAAGAAAGCAAACCTTATATCTCTAATCAAAGCAGGAACAATATGTAGTTAAGAGTTTAAGTTAGTTTGGAAAGAAGGAAAGGTTCGTGCAAACTGCAATTCAATTACTTATGAGCTTCATTAAAGATTGTAAATTTGAATCAGGCATGGTTGTGCTGTCATAATATGATAGTATAGAGAGCACGCAATACCAATGCTTTGGAAGCTTTCCCAAGCGCAACAGTTACGATTTTCCTTCTAACTTCAGCATCCAATTTTGCCCACCAGTCTAAGCAGCCTTTCTTCCTCCAAAACACATTGGCGGCAACTCCTGCAGTGCTCAACTTCTCTTTCAACTTCACCCCTCGTCTCTTAGCATTAGCAGAATTCAACCATGCAAGCCTAAGGGCGACTTCCAGCTGATTTACAATAAAAGCCTCAATGCTATAATAGCCTCTCGCCTTCAGCCACTCCAATTCCACCCAATCTGCTCCCAATTCACTGTCAGGGCTCCTCAAGAACCCTCCATTGGACACCGTGTCCATGGTGAGAACAAAATCATCAACGTTCTCAACGAACTCTTTACACACCGTCACGGAATCCAAACAACTCACCGAACACGAGCAGTCCTGCAGCTTTTCCCCTTCTCTCGATCCAAAAAGCCGAGTGGACTCGAAAACTAACCTTTCCGAATGATTGGACTCGGCAGTCCGTGATAAGAGACCAGTGGACTTCTTGTAGCAGAGGCTTGGGAGATCGTCGGAAGGAAGGTCTGGCAGGATGATGAAGCGGCCGTAACCGTTTGTCCGTAGCTTTCCGAGCATTTGAATCAACAGCTGGGTGAATTTGGGATCGACGGTGGTGAGGTGGGCCTGGCGCTGAGCAACGGAGAGGGAGGAAAACCATTGGAGGATAGCAGATCGAGAACTGGGATTAGGGTTGGAGGACTGGGATTGGGATTGGGAATGGGAATGGTAGAGGGAGATATGGGCTGTGAGGGAGTCGACGAGTTGGTCCTGAGTCATGATGAGCGAGTTGGTGGGATTAGCGAGAGACGAGGGCGGTGGTGGTTTGGGTAACGAAATGTTAGGGTTTGGTTTGGACATTGTTGATTTTCGCCTGTTTGGAATTTCCCCTTTCCCTGATTGTTCGTGATTCAGTTCCTAAACGCATGCGAGATGGAGAATTTGCAGGGGAAGAAACCCGACTCAAGCTGGTACAGGAAGAAAATGGGATCGGAAAGTTCGAAGGGGCGGGTGGCTGGGGAACTGAAGGAGGAAATGGAGTACCAACTACCAAACGCGGGGAAACACACAACACAGGGGTAATTAGCATAAAAGCTCACAAACCTATTAACTTTGTACGAAACGGTCACAAACCTTTAATTTTGTACGTTTCAGTAACATACATTTGAGAGAATAACAAAATAGTCATTCCGTCCGTCTCCATCCAAAAAACCGTTAGTTTCGTCCAGTCAGCGTGACATGTCACTTAAAATATTAATAAAAAATTTAATGACCCAACCCAATTGAACTGGATAGTCCAACCAAAAATCCTAATCTTGGAGACTAGTTACTTAAAAAAAACGTTTTCACAGCCTACAGAGTGATTCCGCTCCCCAAATCGCACCATCAGAATAGTCCCCCGTCGTCGAGCCGATAGCAAGTTGCTTGCGGCTGACGTGTAGTCTAAACAAAGTAGAACAACAAAATAGAAAATATGGGTTTGGTTGATAGGCTAAATTACACGTTTGGTCACTCAAACTATACAAATCTTTCACGTTTGCCACCCGAATTACTTTTCTTTCTTATTCGCCACTAACTTTACGAATCGTTTCACGGTTGGTCACCGGCCGTTACACTCCGTTAAATTTGTCCTACGTGGCAGTCAACTATAAAGTTTGACCGTTAACTAGATGACGTGGAAATTAAAAAAAAATTAAAAAAAATTTCTTTCCACCTCATCATTGTACTTATTTTGTCTATATAATTTATCATATTAATAATTTAATAAAATTTAAGAAATTACAAAAATGGGCAAATCCAAATGCTCATCATCCTCACCCTCACCATCCACTCCATCGTTTCCGTCGCCGTCGCTCGAAACGGCATGGCGGAGATCATAGCCAACGATCAAGGCAATTAGATGATGAGCCGTTTGGATTCTCATCGTCCTTTTACTACTACCCCTGTTCTTCATCGCCATTTCCGGCGTGCTTAGTTTGTAGTAGGAGAATGATTATTCGCGTATAATAAATGACATTTAGTATATATCGGCCAATTATATCCGTCTGCAAGCTGTAGGTAGAGTTCACTTATCCCCCACTGCCAATTGCCGTCGCTGTTTCGTTTCTCACCACCGGCACGAAGCCGGCGACGACAGTAAACCACCTCTGCTGCCTACAGGTTCATTCAAGGATCTGGGTTTAAGTGGGTTTCGCTGGGTGAAGTAAGAAAGTATCCCGTAAAACTAAAGCTTTAAAAAGAAAGTTTTTGCATTTGACTATTTCAAGGGATACAAACTGTTGAAACCAACGCAAGAAAGTCTCAACAAAGTACCAATTCTAGTTCCAGCCGCCCATGTTGGTAGCTAATAGCGCCTCTGAACCACAGTTTGTATGGTTCTGAACAAATAAATAAAGCTGATGAACCAGCCCCACAAAGTACATTTCTAATTGCAGCCTCCCAAAATTGCTGGATAGTGAGGGTGAGGATGATGAGCATTTGGATTTGCCTATTTTTGTAATTTATTAAATTTTATTAAATTATTAATATGATAAATTATATAGACAAAATAAGTGCAATGATGAGGTGAAAAGAATTTTTTTTTAATTTTTTTTAATTTCCACGTCATCTAGTTAACGGTCAAACTTTATAGTTGACTGCCACGTAGGACAAACTTAACGGAGTGTAACGGCCGGTGACCAACCGTGAAACGATTCGTAAAGTTAGTGGCGAATAAGAAAGAAAAGTAATTCGGGTGGCAAACGTGAAAGATTTGTATAATTTGAGTGACCAAACGTGTAATTTAGCCTTGTTGATAGTTTATTTCATTATTGAGATTGTTACAAATTACAAGTTACAACATGTGTTTATTGTATTAATAAAATTTTTATTGTAATATAAATAGTATTGTATTACAGGTAAACTCTATTTTTTATCTAAATCTTTTTCATATTTTTTTATAATATCCAAACCTATTCAAATGTTATTAATTAGTCAAATCTTTCGTAATACATCATAATAGCTATTTTTACGTTATCATTAATAATTTTGTAACTCTTTTATAAGTTAAAATACTAAAATTTTGGAAAGTTGACCTCCATGTATCTCTTTCAAGTCAGTATCATGTTGTCAAATCAATATTACTAACAACTGGAGTGGAAGTTAACATTTTACAAATTCTTAGTATTTCGATAGATTTGGCTAATAAAAAAGAATCCGAAAAAAGTTTGGCTAATAAATAGTCATTACCCTTGTTTTTCTAATAAAATATAATATATATTAATTTTTTTCATCCGAAAATTCTTCGTGCCTCAGGATGCGGCGGCTTGGGCGGCCGCATTTATTTTTACTTATAGCTAAGGGAGTTGGGGCCCAGATTGTATCTCGGTTGTCTACTAATCTTTTTGTAGAACTTTGTTCTGATTTCCTATTGGTTATTGAGTCAAATTACTTAACCAATCATTATTGAATATATTATCACGCTTTTAATATATATATATATATATATATGAATTGTTTCAATGATATGATGTAAATAATTTTTATAATTATATATGTAATCATTGTATTACTTTTTAATGAAAGACAATACATTAATTGTTTTTTAACTCAAATATTTATGACCAAATCTTTTTAAATGCAAAACAATAGTCAAATATTTCACATATTGCAAATACTTCGGGTACCACTAAAATATGATAATTAGGAAAATTATACCACTTAAGTAAGCATATGACATCGGGTACCACAAACGTTATTGAATTATGCATTTGTTTAGAATTTCGCTCATCTACCAATAAGACTTCCTTTCATAATTGAAGCCGAAGAGCCAATTGGAGCTCATGGTGGAGTAATTCGCTCGGGATACAGAGGAAGGATGCTCCAATGTGGACCTCCTAACACAATCCGAGGTCAAGCCGAGTTTGAGTTAACAATGGAGACCTTCATTGTGAGCAACTCATTAGAGCTTGTCATGGAGAACTTTGAAATTAAAGAACATACTCCAACATGGATTTTCAACCCCTCCCTCCTCCCAATTTGACAATACAAGAGAAGGTTGTGCAAGCTTGTGCATGCCTTCGTCCCTAACCATTTAAAGAGGAAAAAGAGGTTGAAGAGGCGATCAATCATGGAAAGCTCCCATCTTGAGGATGACCAAGAGTGTTTCATTAATGACTTTCACACCCTTCCCCATCTCAAGACCAACTTTGAAGACAAAGGCACGAGGGTGGAGGAGCAAGGTGACCTTTTCAATGTCCTTTCATGGCGTCTTGCCCTCCAATTTTTGCTTGAAGAAAAGGATGGAAAGGTGAGAGAAGGGGTTGAGGAGGAGGAAGTGAGTTTGAACAAGAGGAAGATTTTGATTTTTCTCAAGTGAAGAACAAATTTGGAAAGAAGGAAGGGAGGTTGAAGATGCAAGTGGTGTCCGACCAATGATCGAGGTTGACTCGCACGAACTACACCACGATTTAAATCCCGACTAGAGCCCAAGCATAAACTCTAGCCGGGTGCCGTATAGGGCAAGTATGTTTTAATTGTCAAACCGATAACACCAGATTTGGTGTTATTTAACCCACACATCTTGGTGTGTGGATAATGACGTGTGGATACGATAGCCTAGATCAAGGTGACTGGAACATGGTTTTAGGGGAGGCGTGTGGATAACGATGAAGGCCCATGGAAAAGAGCTCACTCACCATATTCGACGACCTTAGATATCTATATATGCATAGTGACCCTAAGCTAGAGGGAGGACTAGTCCCCGAAGTACTTGCTTTTATCTTTGATCAATCTTTAGACTAGAGTTTCCTCATATCCTCGACTCAAAACCGATTAACTAATTAGAAACTAGGTGAGAAGTAGGCTAGGGTACCGAGACTCGGATAGAATACGACCTTGATTACCACTATACGACAACGCCATTCTAGGTTAAACTTGGCTTATGATGGGGTAGTTGTGGATACGTGCAAACCTTTGACAAAAACCTGCACAGATTGAAGTGATCAACGCATTAGCTAGTTAAATCACTATCGCAAGAGACGCATGTACGGGAAGAAAATAACATTTGTGGAAGGGATAGAGTGATGTTATAGATGAGACAATGAAACATGATATGGTTGAGCCTTAGTATGCATGATGAAACTCGAAATTCACTTTCTTATAAAACAACTTATATGTACTTTTATGCATCTATAAATAAAAAACATCTAAACAAATTTACTATTCTTGCATGATGAATCGAATCGCCCATGGTTTGCTGGTCCAATTAGTCTCTTCGTCAGACTCTTAACTCTTCTGGTTTCCGCTGGGCAATCAGATCCTTCTACCTCGTTCTTGCCGCAACCTGTTAGAAACCGAATTATCTAGGGTTTCTATATTTATTATTTTAATTATTATTAGGGTAAGTCTTATTAAGGTTAGTAGTCTTCTAGTAGAATTAGGTTTATTCTTAGGGTTTTCTAGTATTTCCCTATATATATGTATTTTGGGTCATTCGTCAGATTAAGCAGAAATCAGTAAAAGAATTATCTCCTTAATCCCTCTTCCTATTCTCTTAATTCTTGATCTCAATCTCTCTAAAGGCCTAGGCCGATTCTTCTCTGTTCTTCCCCAATTCTTCTCCAAATCTCTAATTCTATCTTCTCATTCCCTAAATTCCCAAATCTCAACTTATACGAATCCCGTTAGAAACTTTGTTCTAACATCTGGTATCAGAGCCCGGTTTCGACCGGCGAGTTTCTCAACTCCATCAGGGCAGCTTCCGATCAGGAGAAGTACCAAGTTCAACAATGGAGAAATCGGAACAGACATGGGCACAGAAGCAGGAAAAGATGTGGCAAATCGTGAACTACTGGAGGGAGAGATCGGCGCGAGGCGCCGCGGCAGGGAAGGAGGGCGAGAGCGCCGGGGGAGCGGGGCTGGCGGCGCTCGCTGACGCCGACCGAGGCGGCGGCGCGGGGAGCAGCCTGTTCGTCCAGGGGAGCGGGGCAGAAGGCAGCGGCAGTGGCGGAGGCCCCGAGGCCGCGGGGTGCGCGACGGCGCGCGAAGCAGAGGGCGACGGCGTAAGAG